GGAAGCTGATCACAATTACATTTCACCTTTGTAAATGCACATTAATGACACTATGTAAAAAACACATTAACACTTTATATAGGGCAGACGTAAATCTGTGCATCTATGTATTTACGTATGTAGGTTAGCTTAGCATTTTAAAAGCACTACAATCACCTTCTGTGGTTGAGTGTTCAATAAATCCCTTGAACTATATGTTTAACACATCTCTCACCCTGTCCATGGAGGACAGAAGAAAACGTATATATGCTGGTTAGCATTGTAAATGTCTGGCCACGTCTGTGGTAGAAAAAAATAATAAATAAATAAATAAAATAAATAAATAAATAAATAAATAAATAAATAAATAAATAAATAAATAAATAAATAAATAAACTCGTGAAACTCTACGGCGGCGTCCTGCCTCATTTAACTACCCGTCTTGACAAACAAATCCCAATCTACGATAGATCGCGAGCGACACGGAACACGCCCGCGACACGGCCGGAAACAAAGGGACACGCCGCAGTGATACCAGAACCGTTCAGCACAATATCGAAAGTTTCCATAATAAGACTCATGAACAGTACTCTGATGGTCGCCGGCTTTGTCAACACAGCCCAAGTTATCCTCTTTAATAAGCAGCTTTGCTGTGGGACTTTTCCTGCGGCGTGTGTGTGGCGCGTCCGGGGACAGCAAGCCCGCGTGTGGACAGGTCTCGTGGCCGCCTTCCCGCCTCACTTTTCTCTCTCTTTCACCTTTGTTGGTCATGTACTCACTTTCCACACACTGCATCTTGGCCAGGACCTCCTGGAGAATCCCACAGTCCAGTTCCGTTGCAAATGCACATTTCCTTGTGTTGTTACTGGAGCATTATTGCGTATGAGGGCGTGAGCGCGCGCGCGCTGGTGTATTTGATGAACCCGTAACCCCCCCCCCCCGGTCCGGTCCACCAATACACCCCCCCGGTTCGGTCCACCAACATCCACCAATACACGAGCAGTAAATAAAGCCACTACCACCGCTGCCACAATTCTGGGTGGCATTAGTGTGGTTATGCCGGTCACGAACCACCAGCCCCGTCCCAGTCCCCCCCCCCCCCTGCACCATCAGCCTCCGGTTCTGTGAGTCCGGTAATTGCCGCCACTACACGGGCTAAATATTAAATTGGGCCACAGTTGCACAAACCGGGCCCCCCACGACCACGCAAACCGGGCCCTCTACAGCCCCACAAACCGGGCCCTCTACAGCCCCACAAACCGGGCCCTCTACAGCCCCACAAACCGGGCCCTCTACAGCCCCACAAACCGGGCCCTCTACAGCCCCACAAACCGGGCCCTCTACAGCCCCACAAACCGGGCCCTCTACAGCCCCACAAACCGGGCCCTCTACAGCCCCACAAACCGGGCCCTCTACAGCCCCACAAACCGGGCCCTCTACAGCCCCACAAACCGGGCCCTCTACAGCCCCACAAACCGGGCCCTCTACAGCCCCACAAACCGGGCCCTCTACAGCCCCACAAACCGGGCCCTCTACAGCCCCACAAACCGGGCCCTCTACAGCCCCACAAACCGGGCCCTCTACAGCCCCACAAACCGGGCCCTCTACAGCCCCACAAACCGGGCCCTCTACAGCCCCACAAACCGGGCCCTCTACAGCCCCACAAACCGGGCCCTCTACAGCCCCACAAACCGGGCCCTCTACAGCCCCACAAACCGGGCCCTCTACAGCCCCACAAACCGGGCCCTCTACAGCCCCACAAACCGGGCCCTCTACAGCCCCACAAACCGGGCCCTCTACAGCCCCACAAACCGGGCCCTCTACAGCTCCACAAACCGGGCCCTCTACAGCCCCACAAACCGGGCCCTCTACAGCCCCACAAACCGGGCCCTCTACAGCCCCACAAACCGGGCCCTCTACAGCCCCACAAACCGGGCCCTCTACAGCCCCACAAACCGGGCCCTCTACAGCCCCACAAACCGGGCCCTCTACAGCCAACAAACCTGGGGGGGGGGGACCGGTTTAGGCAGCACCTGGTCCTATTTCGACCTGAATGTAACGCATTACTTTATATTCACTTGCTACAGTGATGGAGAGATCAGTCTAACTTTAACCTGTGTTCAAACTAATCACTATTGCCACGTGCTCAGTTCGGTGTGTGTAAACATGTAATCTGTACTGTGCACCATCAATTTAGAGTCTCCCCCCCCCCTTCCTCTGCCAATTTAGACGACCCCCCCTCCCCCTCTGTGTGTGTGTGCGTGCGTTTGTGTGTGTGTGTGTGTGTGTGTGTGCGCGTGTGTGTGTGTGTGTGTGTGTGTGTGTGTGTGTGTGTGTGTGTGTGTGTGTGTGTGTGTGTGTCTCTCTCTCCCCCCCACCCCAAAAATGTTCCTAACTCTAATTTACATATTATTACATTTGCCATTTTACAGCACCATATATATATATATATATATATATATATGAATATATAATATATATATATATATATATATATATGTCACAGTCCAACCAATTAGCACATTAATGTACACCACTTCATCTTCGACACCAGTACATTTTTTACAACTTCCAACACGCCCATTTCCAGTCAACGTACAGAATGTTCCGCACTTGCGCCAACATTTCATCCAGTTTCAAGAGGAATTTCCGACCAATTTGCTCCCAATCGCCAATATTTTCCAGGGAACACGTTTGGCTGTGACTGGCCGAGTGTGGACGACTGCACTTTACATATTGGAGTCCAGGGTAATTAAGAGCCTACCTGTAACACACTCCCCAGGTGCTGGGGTGACGGGGGAGGGCATTGATCTCTCCCTCGTCTCTACAGAGGTCAGGTGGGTGGGTGGTGGTGGTAGTAGGTCAGGTGTGTGGTGGTAGTAGGTCAGGTGGGTGGTGGTAGTAGGTCAGGTGTGTGGTGGTGGTAGTAGGTCAGGTGTGTGGGTGGTGGTAGTGGTGGTAGGTCAGGGTGTGTGGGTGGTGGTAGTAGGTGTGTGGGTGGTGGTGGTGGTGGTAGTGGTGGTAGGTCAGGGTGTGTGGGTGGTGGTAGTAGGTCAGGTGGTGGGTGGTGGTGGTGGTAGTGGTGGTAGGTCAGGGTGTGTGGGTGGTGGTGGTAGGTCAGGGTGTCAGGGTGTGTGGGTGGTGGTGGTAGGTCAGGGTGTGTGGGTGGTGGTGGTAGGTCAGGGTGTGTGGGTGGTGGTGGTAGGTCAGGGTGTGTGGGTGGTGGTGGTAGGTCAGGGTGTGTGGGTGGTGGTGGTAGGTCAGGGTGTGTGGGTGGTGGTGGTAGGTCAGGGTGTGTGGTGGTGGTAGTAGGTCAGGGTGTGTGGGTGGTGGTAGTAGGTCAGGTGTGTGTCAGGGATGATCTGGTGGAGTGAGGGAGAGAGAGAGAGACAGACAGAAGACCGCGGGGGTCGATACCATGTGTCTGATGCCCCGGCCACCACCACCACCACCACCTGTTTCAGCCATGAACCATCACCACCACTACCATTAGTGTTAATGGCACTGCCACCAGCCATAGGCAGGCTCACCAGCCACACAGAATAAACTATCATTCTGCTTCTCATGTCTCCCCCAACAACACTATATCTAGCCACGTCTCCCCTCCCACAATAACCTCCCCCACCACCACTCCTCTTCCCCACCACCTTCCCTGATCACCACCAGACTGCTCCATTATGTCTGGGGCATCTCGCCTCCTCTTACACACTCATCACTTAGCGTTATTAGTGGTGCTATTTCCTCCGTCCAGTCCTTACCCCGCCTCCCCACACCCCCACACAGTGGCAGCACACCGTTCCCTCCCCTATAGGTTACCCTACCTTGAGGTGATTTCGGGGTTTAGCGACCCCGCGGCCCGGTCGTCGACCAGGTCACACGTCACCAACTACCACCCCACAAACCCCCCGACACCACTGACCACACACCACTAACCCCCACTAATATCTTAATTACTGACGATCCCCGGTTAATAGCCATAACTAACCATACGGCCCTACCACTAACCGGGACCAGTGCCCCCTCCCTGCCTGTAGTAGCCTCGCGTACCAGTACCCCAGGACCAGTACCCAGGACCAGTACTAGCATGATCTTGTACTCACCGAGACGGGCCACACTTCCCAACCGTCGCTCAACTTACCTGCAAAGGGAAACATTAAACATTAACACAGACTCCCACAGAATACATGTATAAAGTATATTTATTCTAGTATAATCAAAGGCTTCCTTTCATAATATATGTATACGTGTGTGGATATACAAGGAAGTACTCACTTCACAGGAACGGGAATGGGTATACAGGGAAAGTGTTCATTCACAGGAACGGGAATGAGTATACAGGGAAAGTGTTCATTCACAGGAACGGGAATGAGTATACAGGGAAAGTGTTCATTCACAGGAACGGCTGGGGTTATAAGAACGGAATGTACTTACTGTACCTGCTTGGCAAACTGGTCCGCAGTTCGAAGGAGGGAATCTGTGTTAGCTTTTAATTAGCGCTAAGTTACCCCCCCAGAAAGAAAATGTGAATGTTGGCGCGAGAATGGGTACACTGATGGAAGTGGAGTAGGCAGCGAGCGATTTTGTGCAAATATAAATGTTGAGAAAAGTAATTGAAATTGCCTAAAGGTGTGCGTGAGGTGGAGAGGGGGGCGGGGAGAGGGGGGGGGGCAAGGGGGTGGGAGGAGGAGGGGGGGTGGGCCAGAGGTGTCAGTTTACCTCCAAACATAGGACACTGACCACGCCCTCCCCCCACGCCTACACGCCACGCCCTCTCACTTCATTTCACTCTCTCAATGTTTATCTTCCCCATACACCTGACACACTATTGCGTGTGCGCGCGCACGCACACACGCAACACCCCCCACCACACACACACACACACCTACCTCAAGACCAGCTATCCACGTATATACAAGTTTCATTATATTCATGAATAAACAACAAGAGAGTGTATATAAGCAGCAAGTATAGGAGCACATTAAGAGTGCAGCCACACACCTGCTGCTGCTCAAGACACTTACTTTTTCTTAACAAAGCTACGAGAGACGCGACTACCCCCAAGGCTCGGCTGTGCCTCACACGACCACGCTCCCCGTCTACGGAAGAAAGACACAGATGTGGTAAAGAAGTCACTATTGTAACTATATTGAGGGGAGGAAACGCTCACTAATGGGGGAGGGTACAGTCGCTAATGGGGGGAGGGTACAGTCGCTAATGGGGGGGAGGGTACAGTCGCTAATGGGGGGGAGGGTACAGTCGCTAATGGGGGGGAGGGTACAGTCGCTAATGGGGGGGAGGGTACAGTCGCTAATGGGGGGGAGGGTACAGTCACTAATGGGGGGAGGGTACACTCGCTAATGGGGGGAGGGTACAGTCGCTAATGGGGGGTGGGTACAGTCGCTAATGGGGGGTGGGTACAGTCGCTAATGGGGGGGAGGGTACAGTCACTAATGGGGGGAGGGTACACTCGCTAATGGGGGGAGGGTACAGTCACTAATGGGGGAGGGTACAGTCGCTAATGGGGTCAGTCAGTCATGTACGGTTGGACCTAACAAGCCAAGATCGTCAACTCTCACTATTTAACCTTACATATTCACCGTTCAGGCACTCGGTATGACTACATATATGTAAACACACACACATACACTCTAAGAAGAGTTAGGGAGGGGGAACATGATCACCACCTACAAGATTATCAAAATTGAAAGGGTAGATAGAGATAAACTATTCAACACCAAGGGGAACACGCACTCGGGGACATGGGTGGAAATTGAGTGTGCTCAAATTAGCCATAGACACATAGGAAAAAATTTGTTTGGTGTTAGTAGTTGAGAACTGGAATGCTTTTGGCAGTGATGTGGTGGAGGCTGACTCCATACACAGTTTCAAGTGTGTATGGAGTCACAAGGCTAGTGCGTGTGTGTAAAAGAAAAAAAATACCATTAGTTAGTAACAGTCGATTGATTGACAGTTTAGAGACGGGCCGAAAGAGCAGAGCTCATCCCCCGCAAGCACAACTAGGTGAACACACACACACACACACACACACACACACACACACACACACACACACACACACACACACACACACACGCACACACGCACACACACTAAAATGTCTAAGTCTGGTCACTTCTCACTCTTGCATCCTACACTTCCAGCCTATTACATTCCAAGTTACATTGATATCCTCAATATATAACCAATCCACTTTCTTACTCTTTAATCCAACATTTTTAGCCAATCAAATCACGCTGTTTCTAATTGCGTTGGTATTCAAGCCGCGGCCGCTGACCAATCACCACCATCCCTGTAAGCAGGGAACCCTGACACAAGAGTCATTACGAGTTAACGAGACCCAATACTGACAATAGGGCCCCCCGCCCACAGCCCACGCCCACAGACCCCCCCCCCCCCGCCCACCACCCACAGCCCCCACCCCCCGCCCACACCCCTACATGCTCCTCGTGGCTTAATAAAGTCAGACACTGAACGCACCTAACGGCCTCCAGTCCAATTTTCTGCCCTCGCCTTTTTATTTATCATTTCCACTATTGTAGTGGTGAAAGGAATATGATGTTTTTGTACCCCCTTCGGTGGGCGTGCGGGTGGGCGTGCGGGTGGGTGGGGGCGTGCGTGCGGGTGGGGGCGTGGGTGGGCGTTGGTGATCAGGAGACCTTGGAACGTGTATACTAGGCTGAAGAGGAGCTGCGAACCCCGACCCCAGAGGCAGGAGAGCCGATATTAAACACAGCATCGTGACCTGCATCCATAGTTGTTAACGTGATCCAAGAATGGTTTATCACCCGCCAACCACACGCCCACGCCAGCCACGCCCACGCCAGCCACGCCCACACCAGCCACACTGCAGTGAAGAAAATGCACCACCACCCCCCATCCACCACCAAAACCACAACCCCCCACCACCTGCCACCAACATCCTCCATCTACCACTACCACCCCCGATCCACCACCTGCCACCACCACAACCACTCCCCCCCCCGTCCACCACCTGCCACCACCACTACCACCATCCCCCATCTACCATCACTACTACCACAACCCCCATCCACCACCTGCCACCACCACCCTATCATCCACTAGACACCACCCCCCATCCTCCACCAGGCACCACTACTACCACCCCCCATCCACCACCACCCCCCATCCACCACCACCACTACCATCCACCACCACCACCCCCCATCCACCACCAGCCACCACCACTACCACCATCCCCCATCTACCATCACTACTACCACAACCCCCATCCACCACCTGCCACCACCACCCCATCATCCACTAGAAACCACCCCCCATCCTTCACCAGGCACCACTACTACCACCCCCCATCCACCACCACCACTACCATCCACCACCACCACCCCCCATCCACCACTACCCCCCACCCCCCCCTCCCCGCCGGCTCTAACTGTAACAGCAGCAGACAATACAAACAATTACATTAATGTTTCACGAGAATAAAACCATCCAACATTTTAGGCAAATTGGCAAATAAAAAATAAAAAAAAACAATTACAAAAGTTGAACATAAATTCCGAGAATGTATAACTATTGCATGAACAAAAACGAAATAATTATATTAAAGAGTCCCTTTAACACAGCCCGCGGGGGGGGGGTGCCCTGAGGGGAGGTGCCCTGAGGGGGGTGCCCTGAGGGGGGTGCCCTGAGGGGGGTGCCCTGAGGGGAGGTGCCCTGAGGGGGTGTGCCCTGAGGGGGGTGCCCTGAGGGGGGTGCCCTGAGGGGGGTGCCCTGGGGGGGTGCCCTGAGGGGGGTGCCCTGAGGGGGGGTGCCCTGAGGGGGGTGCCCTGAGGGGGGGTGCCCTGAGGGGAGGTGCCCTGAGGGGAGGTGCCCTGAGGGGAGGTGCCCTGAGGGGAGGTGCCCTGAGGGGAGGTGCCCTGAGGGGAGGTGCCCTGAGGGGAGGTGCCCTGAGGGGAGGTGCCCTGTGGGGGAGGAGTTCTGGAGGCCCGGGGGGGGGGGGAGGTGGGGGTGAGGCAGGGGTTTGAGGTAAAAATGTGGGGGGGGGGAGGGAGGCAACGATGGTTAAGGTTTACCTGTGGCGAATGTCGAGAGTTGTGTTCCTTGAACAGCCCAGTCACAGGGCCAGACTTTACCAGCGGTCTCACCCCCCCCCCCCAGCACCCCCCCCCCCCAAGATTAACAACCACAACAAGCCTCGTCTCACACTTCCGGCAATAATATCCAATTGCCTCTTGAAACAAAGTCGTCATGTTGTGAGACAAGTCCCAAGATGTTATCTAAGTTTTATAACGACTCCTTGTTAGACGGTAAGAGGGGGGGGAGGTTAGATAGAAAGGGGGGGGGGTAGATGGGGGGGGGGTAGGGTACGACGTCAGGAGGACTGAGGACGAGAGCACTAACCAATCCCCCTCCATCCATCTATCCATGACAGCCACCCGGCCTCCGAGCCAAAGCTCCACATTCAGGGAAATGCTTTCCAGTGAGCAGCAGAGAGGTGCAGACAACGCAGCCGCCGCACCGCAGAGACAAGAGGTATGTAGCCCCAGGGTGACGCAGACGGGTGCACCAGCACCGCTCCCAAGTCCACTACGGGTTCACCATAGCCCGTAGCTACTTGGAACTTGTTCCGAGTACACAGAAGTGAGGGCCAAGTGCAACAGAACCCAGGGGGGTGGGGTGGGGGGGGGAGCTGCAGAACAGCAAGCTACCACTATAAAACCCACTCAAGAAGATCAAGGTCTGCTCTTCAACCACTTTCAAGCTTCTGCAAGATCGACAGCAACCATCTTACAATAGCAATTATCAATACGCTGATCGCTGCACACCTTAATGGGTTTAGAACCTTTGTGTATGGATACCGTCTCACGTACGTACATCGTCATAATTTTTTTTTTTTTTTTTTTTTTTTTTTTTTGGTGATATATACAAGAGTTGTTACATTCTTGTAGAGCCACTAGTACGCGTAGCATTTCGGGCAAGTCCTTAATCCTACGGTCCCTGGAATACGATCCCCTGCCGCGAAGAATCGTTTTTTCATCCAAGTACACATTTTACTGTTGCGTTAAACAGAGGCTACAGTTAAGGAATTGCGCCCAGTAAATCAGTAAATAATGACACAGACATTACACCCAAGAGTGCAACAAGGATAATGTTGACTGACCCACAATTAACCTCTTATATTGTTCCAAACACCGATTTCTAAGAAATGACCGACTCCCAAAAGGCCTGAAAGCACCAGTATTAAAAAGCTATGATTTAATCCGGTGGAGCCGTTATGAGGGTTCGAACCTATGTGGTGGATGTTCCCACGCACACGGTTCTAGCGACTAGACCACGCCATGGTAATAAAGATTGCAACCTCGAATTCTACTGAACACGCAAAGGGTTTCCCGAGGCTTCTACTGTTGCAAATACAGGATTTTCACACAATCCCTCCCCCTATGCTCTCTGGAGCTGTCATCTAGGATTTGTTCTACCTCTGATGCTCCTCTTTTATATTTAACGGTAACGATGTAGCTACCCGCCGCGGGTGGTGCCCCCCCACACCGCTACCCGCGGCGGGTGGGCCCCCCCACACCGCTACCCGCCGCGGGTGGCTACAGGTGACAAATCTCCCAATCCCGAGCGCTCCAGATACAGATACCGCGAGCAGGGAACTAGGTACCTGCAGCGCTTTATTACCTCTCGTGTTCTTGACGATATCCTCCTAACGCACCAACACTGGCCCGCGCAGGCTACTGATCACGTGACCTCGCACGACCAACCGTCCTGGGAGATGCAGCGACTCTTACCGTCACGTAGTTAGTAGTTCTTGACGCGCGCTGTGTCCCTTCATGTAGTCTACGACGCTGCATCAATACAGCTGTATCTTAATGATAAAGGGGGGGCTGGGTGGATAGGGAAGGGGGGGGGGACGTCCCACAGACTGTGCGACAGACTGAGGGACCCAGGCACCGCTGTGCGACAGACTGAGGGACCCAGGCACCGCTGTGCGACAGACTGAGGGACCCAGGCACCGCTGTGCGACAGACCAATACACAGGTTAGCGCCAGAGAGACAATATACTGTGTTTACTGCAAGATGCCACGGTGAT